TTTAAGCTGTATTGTCTGCCTTTTTTTCAGAAAGGATTCACAGTATGTTATAATAGTACACTGAGCAATGCATTAAGACATATACTGTACAGGATGGCTGTATGGATAGCTCAGATTCTTACTGTTGCCCCTCCAAAATTCATTCTTCCTTTGAATTTGGCAGTCCCATTTTGCCATCCTGCCTACTAACCACTTGCCTCCATGAATGCCTGATTCCTCTTAAAGCTGTTCTGACTCAACAGTGTGCCAACTATAAAGAACTAGGATGAGCCTCAAATCTCTTCTGCCAGCAGAACCTTCTTCTGCCAGGTGACCTCAGAAATCTGCCAGCAGTCTGTCAGCAGAATATCTGCAGTAACTGGCAGAGGTCTACTGACAGAGAAACCAGAGGAAGGGGTGAGAATCAGGTTAAACCAGGTCCAAACCTTCTCCATCCCAGGAATGCGGCCAAAATGCCAGGACAAAATTGGACCAGAATGAGGATATATCGTCGTTAAGCGAGGCACCAGAATGAGAATGCGGCCAAAATGCCAGGACAAAATTGAACCAGAATGAGGATACAATGGTGCCTCGCTTAACGACGATAATCTGTTCCAGGAAAATTGCTGTTAAGCGAAAATATCGTAAAGCGAAATTTAAAAACCCATTAAAATGCATTGAAACCCATTCAGTGTGTTCCAGTCATAATGCGGCCAAAATGCCAGGACAAAATTGAACCAGAATGAGGATACAATGGTGCCTCGCTTAACGACGATAATCTGTTCCAGGAAAATTGCTGTTAAGCGAAAATATCGTAAAACGAAATTTAAAAACCCATTAAAATGCATTGAAACCCATTCAGTGTGTTCCAATCGTCTGAAAACTCACCATCTAGCGAAGATCCTCCATAGGGGCGGCCATTTTTGGGTGCCTGTATAGCGAAAAATGGCTCCTAAAAACAGTGGGGAGCCATTTTGTACACCCGGTGGCCATTTTGAAACCCAACGATCAGCTGTTTTTAGATCATCGTGATGCGAAAATCGGTTCCCAAGGCAGGGAACCGATCATCGTGAAGCGGATTTTTCCCATTCAGACCATTGTTTTGCAATCGCTTTTGCGATTGCAAAAACCTAATCATCAAGTGATTTCCTCGTTAAGCGAAGCAATCGTCAAGAGAGGCACCACTTTAGTTATCAACATCCTTAGGGTGGAACGGATTCAGCACAAGTTTAGCCGGTCTTTGATTATTTTAGCCAGTTAGGGTAGAAGTGGTCATGAATCTCATAGACTGGACCGTAAATATGCCTTCTCTTGATCCAATCAAGGAGAGGAAATCTGCCTGCCCAGGTTTTTTTCTTTTCTTTTAGGCTATAAGCTCAAAATATTAAATCAGTTTTTTCCCAGCTTTTTTGTCTGGCAGGTCCTGTTCTTCCTTCTCTCCTCCCCCCGGATGTGAAAGTGCTTTCCTTAGTCAGAACAGTGTTTAAAATACTCTTGTAGTGTATTTTAAGATTTATTGTATTAGGGACATCAGTGTAGCGCCTCTCCTGGAATAACAGAAAATAAATTTTTTTACTCATCTGGAATAAAATAATAGTTGGAGGTTTTTTTGCCTTCTTTTTACAATAAGGAAGGCAAAAAGATAGATCAGTTTTTTTAAAAAGAGAGGTGACATGTAATCACTAGAGAGATGGGGAAAAGGAACATTTGTTATGCATTAACATGCAGTGACTCCCATGTCAAGTGGATCTTCAGGCAGGAACTAAAGATTTCAGGCTCTTAAGTATTTTTTATCGACATATACATAGGTGTCTGTTGTAGTATCCATCGGCCAGTAGCAAATGCAAACACAGGATGTCCATCTGGGGCTGGTCAAAGAACATCTAGTAGTCTTAATCCACCTTTACGGAGATACAGACAGGTGTACCTTTTAGCCAATATGGTAATCTGCCTGATCATGCAATTGTGTGATCAGTTTATTTATTTATACAGTGGTGCCTCACTTAACGATGGTAATCCGTACAGCAAAATTCGCTGGTATGCGATTTCATCGCTAAGCGATTTTAAAAAGCCCATAGAAACACATTAAAATGTGTTTAATGCGTTCCTATGGGCTTAAAAACCCACCTTATCCAAAAATCCTCCATAGGGGCGGCCATTTTCAGTGCCTCTAAAGCGAGGCAAAACAGCGAGCGGCCATTTTGTTTACCCGGCGGCAATTTTGGAACCACCGATCAGCTGTGCGAAAATGGGGACTTTGCGATGATCGCTTCCCCACAATCATCGCAAAGCCCCTGCCAATCAGCTGTGCAAAAATGGGGGGTTTGCGATGATTGCTTCCCCGCAATCATCGCAAAGCGAATTTTCCCCATAGGGGCCATCGCAAAGCAATCACTCTTGCGATGGCAAAAAGTCCATCGCAAAGCGATTTTGTCGTAAAACAGAGCGATCGCTATGCGAGGCACCACTGTATTTATTTTATTTAAAATGTTCTTTACCCTGCCTTTCTCCTTAAAAAGGACCCAAAGCAGCTTACATCATTAAAAGACAATATTTAAAGCTGAAAACATGGAGCATACAAATACTGAAAAGAATAAAACAGACACCACACTAAAAGACTACCATAACATCAAAAGCACACTCAAGGCAGTAAGACACAACAATCCAATAAAAAAAAAAAAACATTCAGGTAGCCAATCACGAAGGGAAGGCTTGCCTGAAGACAAACATCTTTGCTTGCTTGGGGAAAGAGAGCAAAAATGGGCCACCCTGGCTTCCTGTGGGAGGGAGTTCCGAAGTCTAGAAGCAGCAACAGAGAAGGCCCTCTCCTGTGTCCCCACCAGAGTATCGTGAAGGTAGTGGAACTGAGAGAAAAGCCTCTCCTGATTATCTTAACACCAAAGGAAGCTCATAAAGAGAGATGCAGGCCTTGAGATAGCTTGGGCCTAAGCTTCTATAGGTTAGAACCAACATTTTGAATTCAGCCTGGCAATGGATCAGCAGCCAATGGGTCTTCCGTAACAGGAGAGTTACATGTTCCCTCAACAAGCTCAAGTTATTTTTATTTATTGATGGATTTGATTTGTACCCCACTCATCTGGTCTATAAGACCACTCTAAGTTAACAATCTGGCTGCAGCATTTTGGAACTGCTGAAGCTTCTGGACCTTTCCAGGAGCAGACCCATATAAAACACACTACCGTAATTCAGTCAGGACATAACTAAGGCATGTGTCACTGTGGCCAGATTAGACCTTGGTGCACTTGTCTTAACTGTGCAAATGCACAAGAGCACCCACAAGCTGCACACTTGTTTTTTTCAGGGGACTGTAGCCCCATCCTACACAGGCTGCATCCCTATTCCTTGATCTGCCTTTTGACTTACCCAAGAGCACCCCTGTCTCGTCTGAATTAAGTTTAAGTTTATTCATCCCCATCCAGTCCATTACTGACAGCAGACACTGATCTAGAGTTGAAACAGGTTCCCGGATTTAGATGGCAAGGAGAGATAGGGTTGGGTGTTATCCACATACTCGTTACACTGAACCCCAAAACTCTGGACAGCCTCTCCTATGGGTTTCATGTAGATGCTTGTAAATAACATAAGAGACAAAGACACATTCTGAAAAAACAGATTAAGTTTTTTTGCAAGCTATCAATACATTTAAGTAAAACAATGTTAGCAATTCAGTAAAAATTGAGTAAATTGCAATGAGGTACTGTAAACGTAATATTTAACAAGTACAAAACAAAGTCAGAATCCAAGGGAACATTACTCTGTAATGCTACCTGTAATTCATGTTCTAATAATAACTAATATAAGCATGAGAACATATAGTTAAAAATGCTGTATAATATTTAAAGGAAACAGGGTGGGGAGAAAACAAGCCCCCAGGCTTCTGCTTCAATGGCCATCTCTAGACAAGCATGACTGAGGCATCCAGCCATTTCACAAAAGACTTGCTATGGACAGTTAATGACACAAAGAACTGTATACTAAATTAGCTCCCTAAGAAAACAGCTTGGAAACCTGTTTTGGACTATGAATCCAGCATGATTGTTTTTCCTTAAAAAGGAACCAGATAAGTAATTTAGGAGAAATCTTTGGCTGCTACCATTTTGAGAAGCGGTATAGTGAGAATTGCGAAGGGTTGAATGATGTGAAAAGCAGGGGTCCCCAACCTTTTTTACCCCATGGACTGGCTGGGGAAGGCGGGGCATTCCCCACGCTCGTGTGCATGCACGAATGATTGTGCTCTCTCACGAATGAGTGGACCGGCTGGGGAAGGCGGGGCATCCCCACGCTCGAGCGCATGCATGGACGAGTGTACTCTCTCACGAATGAGCGCATGCACAAATCAGGTGTGCGGGAGTGAGTGCGTGCAGAGGGTGGGGCGAGAGGTCTGTCTCCGTGGCCCAGTCCGGCTCAGGCCATGGACTGGCAATGGGCCGCGGACCAGGGGTTGGGGACTTCTGGTGTAAAGCACTCATATGTTTCCTTTGCTATCCTTAATACCTCTAATTGTCATGCTTTTGAGGTAAGAATTCAGTGGCTCATATCCTGCTGCTCATCATAGTAAGCCACATTAGAATAGACCCATTGAATCAATAGGGCTTTGCTGAGTCAACTCCTTCATATGTTCCATTGATTTAGATAGGACTACTCTAACCATGACTTAGCATAGTCCCATTTGAATCAATGGAACTAATGGATGGGGTTGTCTCATCAAATCCCAGTTGATTCAATGGGCCAAGTCTAGTTCGATTTACTACATTGAGCAACAGGACTTTGGCCACGATGGGCCATTTCTGTAAAAACCATCTGACTCATCCAGCACTGAGAAGCCCTGTGTTCTGCCGTTTTTGGCATAACTTTGCTCTGGATAAAGTAAGGGAAGTTGTATCAGAACTGGCTCTCCATCTATAGCTTCACCCTGTCTGAGAGGGCCAAAATTAGTATTCAGAGAATCGTTTGTGTCCTTAAGGTTGTAATATACTAACATTTCATCACCTGTCTCCAAGGGTCCATATCTGTAATTGAACCTCTGGACTATGAAACGTGTAAAGATTTCTTCCTAGTCGTCGAAGCTAAAGATGGGGGCAGCCCAGCACTAAGCGCTGTGACAACAGTGAATATAAATGTGACAGACGTTAATGATAATGCGCCAAGGTTTAGCCAGGAGGTCTACAGTAGCGTCATCAGTGAGGATGCATCAGTGGGTGATTCATTGATAACGGTGAGTTGTGAAATTTTCCCCCATATTGATATATCCGTGTGCAGCCATTGTTACTGAATTCTTACCTAAATCTCTATGAGAAATGTCAGTAACTCCTGGAGTGTTAAGTCCAAAGCCAGGGATGGAATTTCTTATATTCTATTTAAAGAGGAATCGAAGTGCTTCTGATATATGCTGCCCCTTGTGGCAAGTTGCTTAACACTTGTGTGCCTGGATTAAAAAAAAACAAGAAAGCTTGCACTGTGGTAAATTGAGGGATATTTTCTGTCTCATCTCCTTTGGCTTATGAACAGATAAGTTCCCCACAAGCCTATCCTTAGCAACCCTGCTCAAGTCTTACAAACTCAAAAGTCACTAATAACAATAATCATAAATAAATGATATTTCAAAAATTAAACTCTAGCCTATTCAGTGATCTAATTTAAGGAAGCAGCATTCCGATCATTGAAAAGCACCCCTCTCCCCAATGGGAAAGAATTTCTCTACTATCTGTCAGAAATCAAGCCGCTTTCCTGCTAATTCCCCAGTCTTTGCTTGCGTTTGCACTCCCGCTTTGGCCTCCTGGACGAATCTGCCACAACATTTCCTCCTGTGCTTCGGCCTTGAGTCCACAGAGGCCTGACCCCTGTCCTCCCATCTGCCCGCGCCCTAGAACTGTCAAGTGCCTAGCCACAACTCAATGCCTGCCGAACATTAGTAGCAGAAGCAGTGGCGAGGAAATGACAGTGCTTGACTTCCTAAAATGCATAGATCTGTCTCTTATGAAGTATCCCCAGAGATCTGATTGGTAAATATATGTGATATATTTTTGTTGCATTTTAACAGTATTATTTATTTAAAATGTTAACTGCACGTGTATATCTTTATCCATACAATGTGTTAAGTAGGCACTCATGTCCTTTTCTCCTTTTTTCTTTTCTGGGTCCTTATCCTTCTTCCAAAGTTGATAGCTGAAGACGTAGACAGCCCTCCCAATGGACAGATTCATTTTTCCATAATCAGTGGCGATCGGAACAATGAATTTTCAATTGATCCTAGCTTGGGACTTATAAAAGTTAAGAAAAGATTGGACCGAGAACGGGTGAGACTGCTGATTCTCTGTTTCTTTAGAAATATTGTCTCTTTTCTTTCCACACACTCTTTCTGGTCCAGTTACACATCCTTTTTATGTCAACGGACTACAGTATTTGCCAGCGTATAAGACGACTGGGTATGTAAGACGACCCCCCAACATTTCCACTCAAACTATAGAGTTTGTTATATACTCGCCGTATAAAACTACCCCCTCTTCCGCACACCTTCCACACACCAAATAAAAGGTGCTATTCATTGTCATCATTGTACAGCCACAGCGCCTCCAGCCCGTCCCTGCATCTCCCTGTGACCAGCACTAGTGCGCAAGTGCGCATGTGTAAGCTCTGCATAGACAAGGGGCAGGCTGGAGCGTCGCTGCTTCCCGCCAAGCAGAACGATCCAGTCACGTTGAAAAGGCTGGCACCCCTGTCTCACTGCTGATGCTCACCGCAGCCACGCTGGATACCGCGCGATACTGGACGGTACATAGAATGAGGTGGGCAGGCATCGGGAGGCTACTATGGGCACCGGGCGAGCATGGGAAGGCCACTATGGGCAGCTATGTCTATCCCAACTGAAGTGCACCCGGGATATAAGACGACCCCCCCCACTTGGAGGCATGTTTTTCAGGGCAAAAAAGTAGTCTTATACGCCAGCAAATACAGTAAATACATGTGTTAGTGCCCCAGCTAGAGTAGACCCATTGAATGAATGGACTTTATGTCAGTGTTTATTTAAACAAGTCCATTTATTCAACAAGTCCACTGTAGTTCTGTCTAACAGTTGGATTTACCCCAATATAATTATTATAAGAAAAAGGCTCTGACATTTTAAGTTTTTATTGTCTATATTTTCCTGCATGTGGGTACCACTGAAGCATTTATGAAACTCTCATATACTTGGTTCCAGCTACGACTGAAAGCCCTGAGTTTTTAGATTGTCGGAGGGAACACAAAGTTTGATAGAGATATAAAAGAGGAAACTAGGGATCGCAGTTTGAGGCATAAAAGGTTATTTGATGTGCTTAATTATTAACTTTTCAAGTCCCAGATGTCCTTATGTGTAGCTAGTTCTTCCTGTGGCACTGGCAGGAGAAAACAAAATGATCTGGCAGCAAAATGGGCAAATCCCATAATAAAAAAAATCAGATACTAATTGCAAGAATAGTGCTCCCAACAGAATTTTACAGCTTCTTGAATACTTATGAGTCAGCAAGCAAGGCCTTTAGGTACTAAAGTATGTAGTGCCACCTTGAGTTCAGGTGGGACATAAATCAGACAAGTAAATAAATAGAAAAACTAACCATTTGTCTATTCAGAGATAATGATAGAGTACTATTTCCTGCTGTGAGAACAAGCCAGGGTTAGCCACAGGCTCATGTGGTCCTCTCTTCTATTTTCAACTAACCGCATTGTCTCATTTTATCGAAACCAGGAACTGCGGGTAGTGTTAATTATAGTTTAGGGAACTAAGCCAGGATTGGTTTTGAAACTGGCTGAACCTAAAAATTGATTGTGCTTGTGGGACATTCTGCAGCCTTTGATCTAATAACATATGGCCTTTGATAGCAGGGTCTAAAAGACATGTATCATTCTTATATAATTAATATGTTTTTGTTATACATAATATACATACAATACTACCATGCCTGCATAAATCAGGTGTACCTCTTCAGACTTTAGAATGAAAATATCACCTTCATACTACCATAGCCAGAGACTGCATTGATGTTATTGTGCTAGCAGAGCAAATCAGCATTTCACAAGGCAATTTTAAAAAGGGGGGCTTTCTAAAAAAAAATATAACTTTCAAATCGGACTTAAGATCAGCACCAGATTTGGACTGGGTGTTGTAAACAATTTGCTCTTGTCGTGTGCCAAATTTGTGGAAATGTGGGCAAAGAGGTGTCCAGTTATGATTTTTTTAAAAAGTAAAACTGTTTTAACCCCGGTGCAGAAATGTCACCCTAAACATCCCCAGAGTTCCGTTAGCTCATACAAACTGGAAAGAGGAATCTTGCTTGCCTTAAAAGGGAATGGTTGGTCCCATCTGCTTTTTTTAAATTTGTAAAGAATCCAGGCTGTAGGGGCTGAAATACTGATACTCAAAAAAGGCCTTTCAAAAGGGTAAAATAGTGACTTCCTTTTAAACTGAGCATATGTGGGAGAGGCTTACCCCAAGACTGCTCAAAAGTATACATATATTTGCAGCTTGGTTGCCAGGAAGGGAGATGTTTGGAGAGCAATGAAAGGTCACATCAACGGCCAAAATAGAAGTTTTCTTTCAAGAGTTTAAAAAAGGGGCTTACTTTAAAGAAAGTGACAAAGTGACAGTATTCCAGAAAGGGACATGCTTACTTTAAAGAAAGTGACAAAGTGACAATACTCCGGAAAGGGACATTTCACCATGTATCTCCATGGAATTAGCATACAATTTGTAAAGTATATTCAGACTATTTCTGCATTACAAAAACACAAAGCTGTTGAGTTTCTCCCAGCCTTGAATGCCTTGTTTCAGGAGATGAGGCTCCTGAATACAGATGGGGGTATTTGTATACAAATATGAATATCCCCACACAGATGGCGATAACGAGGGTCCAGCCCCATGGGGCCAGATGGTCCACCAGATCCGCCACTGCCACGAACACCGCAATTTTTCCAGTGGCTCTGCAGATCACAGTCTGCGAGCCAATCTTCAACCTTGAGTGAGGCTTGTCCTCCAGCCTCCTGCCAGGAGTAGCTAGCCGATCGTGGTCTGCAGAGCCATGGAAAGAATTGCGGCGGCAGCGGATCAGTGATTATTGATCCGCTTATTGCCACCTGTGCAAGGAGATTCGTAAGCAAATACGAATACCCTCATCTCTACTCCTGAACAAAGTCAGGGGCAATCTGAATTTTTGACCCTGTTGGTCAGGATCCAACTAGCTGACTTTTAGGAGAACTTTTTAACTCCTAAAAGTCAGGATCCAACTAGATGACTTTTAGGAGAACTTTTTAACTCCTTTCTGACCAAGCAAGCATTCATGCTGGCAAAAGGATTCCGTGGCAGTGCTGGCCCAATATTGTGCAGCAATAATGGGCCATTTCCTGGTGTTTTGAATCCTAGATACAGAAGCAGAATATTCCACATTCATAAACTGTGGATTTTGGAAGAAGTGATTTCTGCACAGCCCCATGACGAGTTGAGGATACAGATGATGTACAAAATGACAATGGTTCATTAGTAAAGGAATAGGACTACCAGGCTGTGGATAATTTTAGTTATGCGTTTGCAGGGCAACTGCACCATTGTTAATGCATGTGACAAACTGTCAGACTGAGTGTAGGATTTCATCTTTTTTTGCGACTTGTGTCAACAGTGCTAACTGTTACCTTGTTGACCCTTAAATTATTCACAGCTTGATAGTCCTCCTGATCCTTTACTAATGAACCATTGTCATTTTGTGCTGTATCTGTATCCACACTTGGCCATGGACCGTGTATAAATATATGATGGTCACATAGTGTCACATTAAAACACAGCAGTCAGTCTCAAGCTGCCACAACATGTTGTCTCTTGGTGTGTGTTTTTGTTAGTTTGATATGATTACATGAGACTGAAGGATGCGTAACTAACTAACTAATGATTACCCAGGCTAACATGGCTACTTCTTCGAAAGCTACAACTGTGATTCATCTGTTGTACTTCAGTTGGGACTATGAGTTAGTTGCAGGTCATTTTATTTATCTTGGAACCCAATAATAAACCCTACTTGGCACTTCCTATGAACAGCAGCAATGTTGGAGGCACTAAATCAAGCAAGCAAGCACATTTCCTATTGGAAGACGATTCTGTTCCTACTGAAGCTGCTTAATGCAGATGAAAACATCCTTCCCGTATTAACGTGACAGCAAGATGAAGCTGTCATTATTTGAAATCACCATTGCAAATAGTTTGCCAGCAGAATGCAGGAGAAGCCGTGGATGTGTATACTTGTTGCCATCTGTAGACCACAGGAAAAAATTCTGAGAAAGAATTTGTGTCTTTGGAATTAAGTGGAACTTCAGCAAACGCAGATGCTGAGAAGCCCTGTGGATGTGAATGGCACTTCCAACAGCTGCCACCTCTGATTAAGCTTTACCTAGAAGCAAGGCCTGCATGGATGGGATAGTGCAGAGAGAGATTATCTCGTGTTTGTCCAATAGGATCTAATCAAAATGAATTGAGCATTCCACAACAAACATCACATTGCAGAGAAAAGTCTCCCTAATGTAATAAACTTACATATGCAACGATTTCCTGACTCGGAAGAACATTATTGTGACTTCACCTGTATTCTGAATTCTTAGGAAGACTTTGTAATGTTTCTCATTGTTTACATTGGTATTTGGACAACCTAAGAATTCATGTGTCCTTTGAACAAATACCTTAATAATGTGATATTGTCAAGTATTGCTAGGCCTGGCACAAGATACTTTACTACTGGAGTCAAAGGATGTCATAACACCCTGCAGTGTTCTGGAGGGTGCTCCGGAATAGAGATGGCCAGGAACCGGTTCATCCCAGTTCACCCCAGTTCGTAAAAGTGGCACAGAGGTGGTGGTGCCCCCCCTTCTCCTGCCTCCTCTGGCTCAAACAGCCATTCAGCAGGTTCAGCTTCCTTGTTTTAACCTCCTCAGCTAATCTCCCAGTCACCAGTAAGAGCACAGACTTTTCTGTCCCACCCTTTTGTCTGAGTGGGAGATCAACCAAGAGGGCAGGGCAGAAGAAGCCTAAGCTGATGCCGGGAGTGGGAAATCAGTTGAGGAGGTGCAGGAAAGTAGCACACTGGGCATGGTGAGTAGATATATTCTTCTACAGTTTTCACATACTCCCCCATACTGTTGCTGCAGACACCACACTCTCTCAAAGACTCCTCTCTCGTTGGCAATTGAGCCACCTTCAGCCGTACCAATGAAATATGATCCTCTGCAATTCCTGAAAGTAGCAATACCTGAACACACACGCACACCAGTCCTTCAGGAGATGGGTAACATCTGGGAAGTTCAGGAAAAACAGTTGTAAAGCAGTACTCCTGCTCCTTTCTATATGTACCACCTGAAGCAGTTGAGTAACTGTCTAATTGTAGGGCTGGCCTTAAGCAGTGCTTGGCCTCAGTTGGTTACAAGGGCGGACTTAGGTCTCCTGCTCCATGGGAAAGATCCATTTGGTGATCATATTAATAATTTGTTGTATAGTTTTGCATGTGTTACATACAGAAGCATAGTTTGGAACTCATTCTCTTAATGAAGTTGTCTCCAGAGCCCAAGTTTTTGTTTGATATTCAAAGCGGTTCCTGTTGTGCATACATACTAGCTAAAATAATAAAGGCTCCTAGATAGCAGATTTCCTATACAAGGCATTTAGATGTTTATTTTTTAAAGTGACCCTTTATCTGGAGCTTGCATATTCTGGTGCAGTAATTTTAGTGTCACAGAGCGATTATGATTATGGATTGCCTTATTTAAAAAAAGCAGGATCTCAGACATATTGCAGTAATAACTAGGGAATTGTCTAGGCCACAGAATGTAATGAGATCAGACATCATCTGTTAAAATATGAGATGTGAGTTCCAGTGTACACAAGAATCAGCACGAACTGATAGAGTCTTGAAGTTGTAAGGTCTACTGTAGTGTATCAGACTGCAAGCAGGCCATGTAATCTTTTGAGTGCCTTTTCCCTGGGGGTGAATGGGCATGCAGGAACTAATTAATGGGTGAGAATGGTTCTAGGTGAGGTTCCATCAGCTGTTCCAGTATTTCCCACCCGCTCAACTGTACATTTTTCACTTGACTGCTTTAGAGACGTCGCTGTCCAGTCAGATGCTTCTTTGGTACCATGTGAAAAGCCATCAACCCTACTGCTTCTTGACAATGTGTTCCTATGCTTTAGAGACGTCGCTGTCCAGTCAGATACTTCTTTAGTACCTTGTGAAAAGCAAGCCCTACTACTTCTTGACAATGTGTTCCTGTTGAGGATTGTGGATGATGACGTCAGCATCTCCATCTTCTTGACAATGTGTTCCTATTGAGGAGTGTGGATGATGACGCCATGTATTGCATAGGCAAATGTAGTTGATTGTCTGACAGTCCTCAAATCAGTTCAGATTGAGGCTGATGTTTCCTTAACACACTTGCCCCTCGTGCTCCCAGAGGCGTCTGATGGGGCCACTGAGAGATACAGGGAGCTGGACTAGATGGGCCCTTGGCTTGATCCAGCAGGGCTCTTCTTACGTTCTTACGTCTCCTTGTGCAACTCCCTTCTCTGCCAAGAAATCACTGAAGGAAGTATTGCTTTTTCACAGCTATCAAAAGCTTGGAAGAGAAGCTTCCTCTATCCTTGCTTCTCACCACCTTCTGCTTGTTTTGCTCCTTTTCTCTTTGCAGGAACTTAAAAAAAAAATCTAACTCACCTCATATTCCAAAATTATTTCACTCTGAAACTACACCAGAGTCCTGTCCATTCCCTCCAACTTCATTGTGCGGGTACATAGAGCTAGCTACCCAGGCTGTAATGAATCCAAGATGGACTCTCGTACTTTTTAACAGGCTAATTTGTAGGTTTCATGTAACATTTCTGCAGATTTCGGGATACTCATTAGTCATACAGGCAAGAGACAGCGGCATTCCTCCTTTGTCAGCATCTGTGACTGTCAACGTTGACATTTCTGATGTGAATGATAATGGCCCGGTATTTACACCTGCCAACTATACTGCTGTGATTCAAGTAAGTTTATCGTAAGCATTAAAATGATATGATCCTAGTCAGACCTTTAAAATATGAAGGTCTTTTAAGTCGCTTTTGAGGATTTATCAGTTTGCAATGTATAGAATTATCTCGCTCTTTCCAAATAACAGATAAGGATATTATTCCTTGACTCTGAGTTTTATGTTTGCAGAGATAATGAAACTCTGGACTGTTGTGTTATAACATTTATCATTTACACAACGTTGTTCAGAAAAGGTTTGAATAAGCAGCAGTTTCGTGGCTGCAGCTGGGATCTCAGGCAGAGTAGCTTAGGGACAAGTCCCATCACCTCTGATTTACAGCCAAATATTCCCATTAGTTATATTGTTAGAAAATTAATAATAATATTTAGAATTAATCCACTTATTGGACCTAACTAAAGTAAATCTAATAGACAAAACACTTTTGCATTAAATTGTACCAGCATAACATACGTATATATGACTCTGGAAATAATTGATATGATTAATTGAAAACATCTAATCCCCCATCCTCCCACTTTCAGGTTCTGAGGCTCTCTGGGGCTCTCTTTTGCCATTGGGAAGTCTTGGGATAGGGACAGGGAGTCTTTAATCATCAAAAATTGCTGCCTGGTTGTTGCCAGTGATGTCAAGGCTTTCACCAGTGATTTTTGACTGCCATCCTGAGGTTCCCAGAGTTTTCCACAAGGCAAATGTCCTAGAGAGCCTTAGAGCCTGAAAGTAAGAGGGATAAGAAGCTTTCGATCAGTTTAAATTAATTATTTCTGGTGCCAGATCTGATACACACAGCATAATTTTGCCCCAACAGTTTTTTTGCCCATTGAATCGCTTCTGGACTTACAGAACTATTAGTAAAAAAAAGACAGTCTTTTGTTGGTGATTCAGAATGTTAATTCCATATGGATTGATAATTTAGAAAGTCAAACCCATTAGAAAGCTCACAAATCATAGTTTAAGGACTGCCGAACTAGGATAACAAACTATAGTTTGAAGCTGGTCTGCAAGCCACAATTAGCCTTAACTGTCAGAGACAAACTACAGCGTGAGTCATTGTTGCGCCATGAAAACAAAAGTGAATTTATTGCCTGTAAAAAAAATTTTTTTAAAAGGAAAATGAAAGCAGACGAGCAACTCTGCATTATTTTGTTTTTTGGTCACTGAACCCTAAAACTATGTTGTCAATCCTTCACTGTGTTAATTAACATACCGAAAGCAGACGAGCAACTCTGCATTATTTTCTTTTTTGGTGACTGAACCCTAAAACTATGTTGTCGATCCTTCACTGTGTTAATTAACATACCTTGTTTAATGATGTAAGCCAGATTGGGTCCTTTTATGAAGATAGGTGGGGTAAAAAATGTAAATAAAATTAACTACTACATGGTTTTAGCTAAACTGCTTTCTCTTGGCTTGGATCTTCCACTAGCACTATGGGCATAATAACAGTGAACTACCTTGCAGGTTGTTTTAAGGATTACTGAGATAAAGTATATAATGCACTTTGAATAAACTAAGTAATGTCTAAAACAGATGCTCAGAAGCTAAACCTAATTATTAGTTCAAATTAGAGTTGTTCAAAATGCTGCAGTTCTTCACATTTTTAGCAGCAAGGACATTGGTTCAACAGAGTGCCAACATGTATTGCTAAAATCTTCCCTATGTTTGTTTTTTTTAATACGTAACATTGGTTCAACAGAGTGCCAACATGTATCGCTAAAATCTTCCCTATGTTGTTTTTTTTTTTTAATACGTACCTTGTGTCTACCAAGGAAAATAAACCAGTAGGAACAAGCATCCTGCAGCTGGTGGTGACAGACAAAGACTCTCTGCACAACGGCCCACCTTTCACCTTCTCCATCTTGGCTGGCAATGAAGACGAGGAGTTTATACTGGACCAGCAAGGAATCCTGCGCTCTGCCATCATTTTCAAGCATATGATAGCAACGGAATATGTCCTGCTTGTGCAGGTACTGCTCCCCTTGGACCCACTTCTTGCAGAAATAGTGGGAATCCATTCTTGAGCCATAGCATCCTCCACTCATTATCTCTTAAACTCCCAATGTGCATTGTTTTTAATTGAATTTCCATTTACATGCACAAGAGTTGCACATTTCATACCATAGAGATCTATAGATAACCAGCTCCTATGCGAAACCATTTGCATAATAAGGAAGAAATTGATGTTTTCTCTACCTCACACAACCAGACAGTACTTTTTACAGAATAGACAAGGTCTCAATGCCGCCACAAAATGAGGGTAAATTTTCTGAGCATTTCCTAATCTGAATGCATAAACGTCACAGGATTACTTTTTAGGATGTGCTCCCTTCCAGATGTGCTTGGGCTGCAACTCATCACCCCCAGCAAGCATAACCAGTCATTAGGGAATGATCGGAGTTGTAATCTAACACTATCTAGAGGACCATATATCACCCACACCCGTTCTGTATGTATATCCTGGTTTGGAATTCGCAGTCTGTGAGCAGATAACTGTCTTGTAGTCCAAAACCTTTCCAGTCTCTGATTAATCCTAAACTTGACCCCTTCATCATCTTTCACCAGGACTGCGCTGTATAGGGAGTGAAGATTTTATCCTTCCTGAAAATTCCACTTCCTCCTACCTTTGTGGTTATAGAATATTTTCCATTATATATTTGGCAACAAAAATGTCTGATTCACCTTCTGGGGAGGAAAAAGGTGCTTGCATAGTTTTTGACTGGCACTCAGTTGTTTCGCTTTTCTAATTTCTTATACCTAACCTTTAGGCAAAGGATTCTGGGAAGCCGCAACAAGTATCCCACACCTATATCCAAATCCGGGTTATTGAGGAGAGTATCCACAAACCAACCGCCATTCCCCTGGAGATTTTTATTGTCATCATGGAAGATGATTTTCCTGGAGGTGTAATTGGAAAGATCCATGCAACAGACCAGGATGTGTATGACGTCCTCACGTATGGCTTGAAATCAGAGCAGAAAAGTTTGTTCAAGGTCAACAGTCACGATGGCAAGATCATCGCCCTTGGGGGGCTGGATAGTGGGAAGTACATTTTGAACGTATCTGTCAGTGATGGGCGTTTCCAGGTGCCAATGGATGTGACCGTCCATGTTGAGCAGCTAGTGCAGGAAATGCTACAGAATACCGTCACCATCCGTTTTGAGAATGTCTCCCCAGAGGATTTCGTGGGACTGCACATGCACGGATTTAGGCGCACCCTGCGCAACGCTGTCCTCACCCAGAAGCAAGACAGCCTGCACATCATCAGCATTCAACCTGTGGCGGGCACCAACCAGCTCGACATGCTGTTCACGGTGCAGATGCACACCGGTGGCTTCTACAAGCCAGCCTACTTGATTCAGAAGCTCACCAATGCAAGGCGGCATTTGGAAAATGTGATTCGCATCTCTGCCATCCTAGAGAAGAATTGCTCTGGCCTAGATTGTCAGGAGCAGCACTGCGAGCAAAGCCTGTCTATCGATTCTCATTCTCTGATGACCTACAGCACGGCACGGATTAGTTTCGTGTGTCCCCGGTTCTACCGAAACGTACGCTGCTCTTGCAATGGTGAGTCATAGCGCTCATATCTCGACCTACCCCAGTCCCCTTTTTCCACTGTCTCCATATTAGTGCTCCATTTTCATTTCTCATGCATTAACCCAATATGGGTAGTTTCAATTTATTCAATTAAAAGAGCTTCTGAGAAAGAGCCTGGCCGATAATTGATTCCTCATGCTCAGCAGGAAGAGTTGGTGTTTATCGGTGTCAAATGGGAGTCATGAACTTTGACCCCCTTGAGAGAAAGCTGGCCAAACTTTGTAAAGACAGCCCATTCAAAACAGTCAATACGCCTCATGCTAGGGAAAGTTTCATAGCTTTTCTTTTTCCCCAGCCAAATCTTGCAGGGCATGCAAACAGGGCCTGTGTCAAGCCCAGCTCCATCCTTGCCTTCACTTCAGGAAAACAGAAGCTGACATTTGACCCAAGTCATAAAGTTTAGAAGGCCTCCTCTTGCTTTTCTAATTTTTTCCTGAAGTAAAGCATTTTGTTAAGTGGGAGCAAAAGAAGGTTGATGACCTTTCCCCGGTTTATGCTGAGCATGTCCAGGATGTAGCGTTTTTGTGCTGCATTATTTGTTGTCCTCCTTGGGAGTGCAATCCGAAACCCTCCTGCCATTTTGAAGGGGGCATGCCTCACCAGAGCATGCGGCAGTGGGTTGTTTGCTTCGGGGTCATTTCAGACACCATCAACATGCTGCAGTTGGTGTGCCCCTTTTAATGAATAAGTTTTAAATCTCCTCCACGTGGTTTTCTGAAATTTGGTTGTGTGAGTTCCAGGATATTTTCTGACCCCGTATAGGAATAGAGTCAGAGTTGGACTCAGAATCAAGAGTTCAGTTGCATTTACACATCTTGTATTTCATGAGATCTCCGGTACACATGTGCACGTACACAGGGAACCAACCTACTGACAACTGGGGATGTCCTTGGGGAAAACATTCATGATTCATTCATTTCAGGTTGTTTTAGGGGGAACTCCTCAATTGGTTTGGATCCTTTCAGATACCAGTCCTTTCAGGAAGCACAAAACGGTCCAGCTGCACTGGGTTATTGAGTTCTGACACTAAAAAAGTCCCACTTGGCTATTACAGAAGAGGGAAGAGGAAGGCCAAGGCATGATCAACAGTGGCAGCAGGGAGGCAAGGACAGGGGAGCAGGTAGAGGACTGGGCCTTGGGGAATAACAGTGACAAGGCATTTTAGATCGTCAGAGGGTGGCCCGTCCTATTGGTCCCATTGCCAACACAGGCACAGCTGATGGGGACACATGAGAGGGCCTTCTCTGTGGAGGCTCCCAAGTTATGGAATGCTCTCCCTCGGGAGATCAGGATGGCCCCTTCCCTGTTATCCTCCTGCCGACAGCTGAAAACCCCATCCCTTCAAGCAGGCTTTTAACAATCATAATTGAATCCCTGAATGCCTTCTTAGAGCTAAGATAGTTTTTTAATGTTTACTTGCTTTTCATTATTGAATTGTAGTTTAAGTAACAAATAAAGTAAAAATAATTAATAAAGCAATGATAAGGGTGGAGAGATGAACAGAGCCTGGAGAATGGTGGAAGAAAAGGGAAAGAAGGAGGAGAAAGACTGTACATACCCTGTTTCCTTGAAAATAAGCCCTAACCTGAAAATAAGCCCTAGTATGATTTTTCAGGATGCTCGTAATAGAAGCCTTACCCCCAAAATAAGCCCCATTTAAGTGAAACCCCACCATCCGCCATTGTGCAGCAATCAAAAGAAGATGACAGAAAACTGTATTTGAATAAATGTAGGTTGTTGTACATGAAAAAAGAACCATCCCATGAAAATAAGCTCTAATGCGTTTTTGGAGCAAAAATTAATATAAGATCCTGCCTTATTTTCGGGGGAACGCAGTACATGTAAAATAGAGGAAACTTAGTATATGCAGGACTTCTTCTTTTGGGAAAACGGTATCAGATTTCAGAAGCTCTCTATCAAAAAAACACAAAAGAATTTGAAAACAAGTGGAAAGCCTCTTTTGGAGTTCTTTTTATTTGTGCACATCCCTGCTGACATCCGGAACACGTCATTTCTGCATTTTGGCATCATGATTCGCAGAAAAAAGTGGTACGGGAGCTTTTTTTATCCCAGTACATCACATTTAGTGGTGTCGGGGGAGGGGAGAGAGTATTCCAGTGGCACTAGATTTATTAGGACCATTTTTGCCCCAGTCATCTTTTGTCAGAGGGCAAATGGCTGAAACTTAAGAACATTGTACCCGATTCCACAAGGGACGATGTTGTAAAATGCCTACCTTGCAGATCCAGTTCAGTGTGAATTCTGCAATAAAAGTGTGAGACATGGGAACTCACACACCCCAGCTGGGTACACAAGGGTTGCCACAAGGCAGAGATCATTCTGGAGAAGACCACATTTGAGCAGAAATAATTCCACAACAACATTGCATGCATATTTACTGGCTAAATTTACACACAGTCAAAGGCAACCTGAGCAGAAGCATGGATGACACATTCTTGAAATATGTATCTCACTAGGAATGCTGTTCCCATTGGCAGATGCTGCAGACATCTAGTATTCATGGACGCCAGCTGTGCAGACATTTTACCTAGTTTATCTTGATTAGCAAACTGAGTTATCAAAACACAAAATAGTCTAAAAGACAGGCAAACAAGGATCTAAACATCTCCAGGGGTCAGAGTTTTGTTTCATCTTAGATAATGTCAGCCTTTCAGTCCAAATCTTTAGAGTACAATCTACAAAGTTTAATTTTCAAGCCACACACAAATTCCACTGACTTTAGATAAATTATTCAGAAGGATATACATCCAGCCAGTGGCCCAAAGCGTGAAGAACATATAAATCTAGGACCTGTGATGCCACCCACCCCACCCAAGTAGACATGTTAACATTAACAAAATTGTTATTTTCCATATCCTCGAATGGAAATAACAGCACTGAGTGTGTTAATCTAGCCAAAGTTAATTGTATCCTGAAGATTTCCCTACTTATTGGCTTTTCTTATATTCTCTTTCCACTAGAGAGAAGTACAGTGGTGCCTAGTTTGACAATGTTAATCCGTTCCAGCAAAATCACTGTAGAGTGAAATCGTCGTCAAGCAAAATAAAAAAGCCCATTGGAATGCATTGAAAACCGTTCAGTGTGTTCCAATGGGCGAAATACCTGCTCGTCCAGTGAAGATCCTCCATAGGGCGGCCATTTTCCAGTGCCTATCTTGCGAAATGAGGTCTGGGAAAGAGTGGGCGGCCATTTTGAGAGCTGCCGATCAGCTGTTTCTAAATTGTCGTGTAGCGAAAAATCAGTTCCTGAAGCAGGGAACTGATCATCGTACAGCGATTTTTTCCTATTAAAACATTGCTTTGTGATTGCTATAGTGACTGCAAAATACTCATCGTTAAGCGATTTCCTCATCTAACGAGGTAATCGTCAAGCGGGGCACCACTGTAGTAATATGGAAGCCTGTATTTCTTATTTCTCCTACAGGTGTTCTATTTTTCTCTCTACATTAAATCACCATCTCTGTCTATTGCGTATACTTGATATTTTGATTCTTCCTTTCTTTCCCCCCATCCTAAAGTGATTGTGGGTTGTTGTTTTTTGTATAACTGCAAATTTTGGGATTTAGGCAATTCATGACTGAGCTGAGGTGCCTCCTAAAATTCACACAGATGAACCACTATTCTTAGATTTCCCCCAGCCTGTTGATAGCATCTTTGTCCTGCATGGGCGATGCTACTTTGCTTACTTTAGGGTGCACACTTAAAAGAATGGTCTTACTCTTAGTATCCAAGATTAGCAAAAATTTATCAAGAGAGATTGTATAGACCCATTTTTAAACATTTCTTAGGGTACCCACCTTCAAACTTTTCAAATCTAAACCCCATTATTTCAATTCCACTTTTCATTGTTCTCCTTAGTTGTCTCCCTTTCACACTTCCCTCTCTTAGAAAAAGATTACTAAATAAAAAAACAAGAGAGAAGAAAGTGGTAGTGCTATAGTACCATAAGGTAGTGGTGTATCGTAAGGCATCAATTTTATAACAACATTCCAAGTAGAATATCAAATTAAGATCCACAGAACACACTCAGGGAAACCTCCTGCATTACGCATTAAACATATTCATTGCATTGTGCGTTGTTGTTTTTTTCAAAAGTAAACACCTCTTTTTCTTAATATTAATGAGTATAGCCACAGCTATCAGTCACAATTAATTTAAAAGTGGAAACCACATTGTAGATATTATCTCTTTTAATGAACTACAGTTTTAAAATGTGTTTCGAATTATATCTAAATTAAGGGCCTGACCAATTGCCAAATTTGGCTTCTGCCTTATAAGTAGAGTGCAGATGTCACCCTGATTCCTTGCAGATGAGGATCCAACAGCAGGACAACCTCTGTTCTCCCCATCATCAGATTTCTACCCCTAGCATTAGTCATTTCACTGTTCTCTCATCCCCTGCGTTATTCATCTTGCATGTTAACCAGGTTGTCTTGTAGCCATGGTTTGCATTCATTCACACCATGATTTCAAATTCTGATCTACAAAAGAGCCACACTGTGGCCGTCTCCTGGTGGAACCACAATGGCATCATGCTCGGGTCGAGAATGCGAATCCGGTTTCTCTCATCCTGGCGCATTCTTCTTAGCAACAAGGACATCAAGGAAGCACATTGGTATTCTTAATACTGTTCTGTTACTGGTGACAACAATTATATGTTCTATCATTATAGCTGTTGATCAAAACTGTGCAATTTGCAGAATTGCAAAAATGTTCAGTTCAAAGAATTGCCAGACAACACGAATTCCTCCTCCCCCAAACTATGATGACTGCTGCTTTTTGGTAAAAATTTGAAGCACTGGATGTCCCCCCCCCCCAATCTCTGTTAACCGTTGGGTATTTCCATTTGTGCTCTCTGTCATGCAGACACAAATTACAGACCTTGAGAGGGAAAAGGAGTGCCTTGTCTTATTCGCAGCTGGAGATGAGGAATCTTTCAGAGCTTTAAAG